GGGCTGCACTGGAAGAAGCTGGAGAGGCTGCAGAGGGCTGGAAGGGACAGGGGTTGGCCTGGGGCAATGGGGGAGTGGGAGGGGGCTGACTGTGTCTCATTAACTCTCAAAGCTCTGGTTGTAGGACACCAGCGTGGCACCGTGGGGGGGAGGGGAGGAATAGTGATCCGCTCCTAACCTCCCCCCTCCCCTGAAACTGATGTTGCTGACCTTTGCCTGGCTGAGGACAGGGCCTGTGGGTGGGCTGGTTTTGGGATAGGAAGTTTTTTTTTTGGGGGGGGAGGCAGCAGTGACCTGCTGTCCCCCACCCTGCTGCCATAGGCTCATCCAAGTCAGGCCACTGGGGATGGGGGCAGCTGGTTGAAGTGACCCCACCCTTCCAAAGAGCCCACCCCATTCACAGCAGAGATGGGCACAGCTCCCTTCACTCAGCAACAGGGGGGCATCCTGCTTCCCAGACCGGCGCAGGAGGGGCGGTTCGGTGCAGAGCAGTGGGTGTGGGGAGACATGGACCCACATCCCACTGCTCCCCATGGTGTGCGCACACACACCACTGTGCCCACGCTTACCCACATGCACAAGCACACTCAGGCAAGTGGGCACTCAGAAGGGTGCACCTGTGCACACATGCAGAGCAGTGAGCACACAGCAGAGCTCCAGCCCCTCCACACTCTCAGGATCCCCCAGTAATAAACAGGCACAGGCAGAGCATCTCTTCCCAGCTCCCTTCTTGCCCCCGGCTCAAACCCACTAGGCCCCACTCCTGTCCCATTGCAGGCTCCCAGGCCCCAACGCTCTAATCCCAGAGACTCTCGTCTCTTTCCCAGAGCCAGGGCTCACATGCAGCTTGCCAGCTCCACCCTGCTCTAACCCACTCGATTCCATCTAGAAGTCTGCTCCCATGGGTATATTCTCCCAGGGCATCTTCCAGTCCTCTGACCTAGGTCAGGTGCAGCTGCTTTTGCCTGTTCTGCCTGATCTTATGTAATGTCAGAAGAGCAAAGGTGACGACGGCACCTTCCTTTGGAAGGGCCAGATAGAACCCAAGGGTCCTGACTCCCTCCCCCTCTGCTTTCATCCACTTAGAACCTACTTTCCTCTGGGACCTGGGGATAGTCATTGGAGCAGAATCAGATTAGGATTCAGGACATCTGAGTTCTGTGCCCAGTTCTGCCGCTGTCCCTTTGTCTCTCTCTGTACCTCAGTTTCCCTTTATGCCTGCTTTGAGACTGACTCAGGGAGCTGCAGGCCCAACAAGCTCTGGCTGGGATCACTGCTCTAACACCGATAATTCGTTTCCTGAGACACACTCACAGGTCTCTTTGGCTGCAGATTTCCCCCCTTAAGCCCAATACAAACATTGCTCGAAATCTCTTCCCTTCCTTTCTTCAAAAGCACTGGAAACAGGATTGTGAATATGTTTATCCAGCCCTTTCCCCTGCAGCCCAGCCAGGGCCATGGGCAAAAACAAAGCTGACTAGGAATGCACAGAGCAACCAACTAGTCCCTTTCATTGCTCAAGCTCAGTGAAACGGAGGACCCCGAAGTCCTGACGCCCAGCCTCCTGTTCTTAGTGCTACACCACACTCCCTTCCAGAGCTGCAGAGGGAACCCAGGAGGGAACACCAGTCCCCTCCTTTGCTAGCCTCTGTAGTAGGAACGCCACTCTTGTTTATTTGAGGGATCTGTTTCTAGAGCACATGCAGGACAGGGGTGTGGGTGGAGTTGGCAGAAAGTGAGTGGATGGGGGGGGGGGAATGGCTAATTCTGTTTTACTCAAAGACAAGGTAGGTGAGGTAACATCTTTTATTGGCCCAACTTTTGCTGGGGGGAGAGACCAGATTTGGAGTTACACAGAGCTCTCGAAGGCAGACCTGAGATAGTTCTCCTTGCACAAAGCTGTACCTAGAGCCCCCCCATCTGTCATAGTTAGCCAAGCACCCCCCCCCAACATCCCTCCCCCCATGCACCAGGGCCTTGGAGAAAGATGATCTCACCTCATCTGCCTGTCCCTGCCAATCAGGTATGTGCCCATGTCAGTGGCTTTATCAGTATGCCCTGAATGCTGGCACTTGTTAAATCAGTAACTTAGATAGAAAGGGGTGTTGCCAAGGAAATGGAGTGCTGGCTCCCAATCACCTCTGCTTTACCCCACCGCCCATCCCCAAAGCTGGTATAGACCCCAGGAGTCCTGACTCACAGCCCCTCTGGTCTAACCACTACACACCATGGTCTGTCTGTCAGGACTCCTCCTGGGGTCTATGCCCAGAGCTGGAAGGGGAGCGGAGTCTGTCGTAGCCAAATCTTCTGTCCAGAAAGCCAATTCATACCCCTCAGCTCCCCTTTCTCTTCACTCCTCCTCCCTCAACTGCCTGGCCGGGGGTAGGACAGCTAATGCAGCAGCCTGTCCAGTCTAAGCCTCCTGTGAGGAGGTTTCTGGGCTCTGGGACAGACACAGGAACCAGGCAGCTCTTTAAATATTTAGTGGCTGAACTATCGACCTGGCTGGTTCCCTGGCTGGGGGACCTGGCTGGTTCCCGTGTTATGTGGGTGTGGGGGGGGGGAGCAAGATTATGGAGGGAGCAAAGCAAGTGGCCCAGGGAGCACAGGCCAGGGGAAGAGGGAGGTATTGTGGGGAGCATGCTGCAGGGAGGAAACAGTGAGGGTTCCCAGCAGTGGGGAGCACAGGCCCAAAATGGGCATGACGGGGGGATTCCAGCAGTGGGGGAGGAGGGGAACCCTGGGCGCAAGGTGAGACTGGCAGCATGGGGAAAAAACATCTATTTAGTGTGACAATTCAGTGCTTCTAGTGAGAGCCTCCTCCACGCCCAGGTCTGGGTCTGGGCTAGAACTCAATGCTCCTGACTCCCAGCTCCCCTGCACTAAGCCGCTAGACCTCACACCCCTCTGAGTGCTAAGAACAGACCCACCAGGTTCTATCGGCCACAACATCACAGGCCCTACGCACGTCCTATGCCCCCGCTCCGTGAGTCATGGGAATGTGCTAGAACTGGAGCTTCCACTTCTCATCCTTGTGGTTGGGGAGCAAAGTAGGAAAATAAAGCCCAGGGCTCGCTAACCCAGCCCTGCCAGCCTGAGTCTACAGACAGCCTGTGCTGATGGCTCCAAGACAGGGCAGTGGACCTGGGCATCTCACGGGCGTGTTCCCTCTGATCCCCACTGCTCTGGGGGTCCTGTCAGTTCCAGCAGATCTAAGCAGACATACCCCAGCTACTAGGGGGGGGTGCTGGCAACCCATCCTCTGCGTGCAGCTGTCAGGCCCCTCTGCTGGGGTGGGGTCACCATTTGTGAGGAGGTCCAGTGCAGAGCTGGGAGCCATAGGGTGTGGGGTGAGCCTGCAGTGCAGGAGGGGCCATGGTGTGTGGGAAGGAGCCATGGTGCAGGGATGGGCTCAAGGGGGGTGTTGGGCTGTGGAACAGAGGTTGGGCTACAGAGCAGGTTTGTGGTGCAGGGGATACAGCCATGGTGATGGGCTGTGGCTATGGTGTGGAGGTGGGGAATAATGGGGAGGTGTGGTCATGGTGCAGCAGGCAGGGATATGTCCCAGGAGTACTGTCCTGATGTGGAGCCACAATTCTATGCAATAGAGGTGGCGCTCCAGTGCAGGGGCGTGGCTACGGATTGATGGTGGGGCAATAAAGAAGGGGGCGTGGTTATGGTATGGAGGTGGGGCTCCAGAGCAGGGGCGTGGCTATGTCATGGAGGGTGGGGATATGGAATTAGGGGTGTGGCCTCAAACCCCTGCTTTTGGCTGCCCCCTGTTCATTCCTTTCTCTGTTCCCCTCTCTCCTCACCCTTCTAGGCACTTCCCACCCACCAACCATGGCTTGCCTGCTGCTGGTGCTGCTATTGATGGCAGGGACCCTGGTGTCCTGGGCTGCCTCCTGCCCCTTCCACTGTGTGTGCCAGAACCTCTCCGAGTCACTGAGCACCCTGTGTGCCAACAAGGGGCTGCTCTTCATCCCAGCCAACATTGACCGACGCACGGTGGAGCTGCGCCTGGCCGACAATTACATCCGCGTGCTGGAGCCCCATGACTTCCTCAACATGAGTGGCCTGGTGGACTTGACCCTCTCCCGCAACACCATCGACAGCATTCGGCCCTTCGCCTTTGGGGACCTGGAGAGCCTGCGCTCCCTGCACCTGGACGGCAACAGGCTGATGGAGATCGGCGAGGAGGCTCTGCGTGGGATGCTCAACCTGCAGCACCTCATCCTCAACAACAACCAGCTCGATGATTCCCTGCTGACTCTGGAGGACCTGGATCTGTCCTACAACAACCTGCGCCGTGTCCCCTGGGAGGGCATCCGAGGCATGGTCTACCTGCACACCCTCAACCTGGACCACAACCTCATCGACTCCATCATGGAGGGCACGTTCTCTGAGCTCTACAAGCTCTCCCGCTTGGACATGACCTCCAACCGGCTGTACACCTTGCCCCCGGACCCGCTCTTCGCTCGCTCCCAGATGGGCGTCATCAGCCCCACCCCCTATACTGCCACCATCGTGCTGAGCTTTGGGGGCAACCCCCTGCATTGCAACTGTGAGCTGCTATGGCTGGGGCGGCTGGCAGGGGAGGACGGCCGCTACTTCTGGTCAGTGCCCGAGGAGGAGTTCACCTGCGAGCCGCCCCTCATCACCCGCCACACACACAAGCTGTGGGTGCTGGAGGGCCAGCGGGCCACCCTGAAGTGCCGTGCCATTGGGGACCCCGAGCCAGTGATCCACTGGGTATCACCTGATGACAAGATCATCTCCAATTCCTCCCGGACTATCTCCTTCCGCAACGGCACCTTGGATGTGCTGGTAACCACAGTGCGGGATGATGGCCCCTACACCTGCATCGCCATCAATGCAGCAGGTGAGTCCACTGCCCTAGTGGACCTCAAGATTATCCCTTTGCCCCATCGAGGCAACGGGAGCAGCAGCACAGTGCTGCGCCATGACCCAGGCTCCTCCGACATTGCCACCAAGACAGCAGCCAACACCACTGACCTGGGGGTGGGTGAGAGGAGCGTGGAGGTGTCTGACGTGACAGCTGACTCGGCCTTGGTGCACTGGGCCATGGACAGGTCGACCCACACCGCCTGGATGTACCAGATCCAGTACAACTGCACCGTGGATGACACCCTGATCTACAGGTAGGGGGCACAGCACCAGTGAGATGGAGGGAGTGGGTGGGGCAGATGCCATCGCCAGGCTCTGAGAAGAGAGACCAGAGTTGGGCATGTCCCAGCCACATCACCGAGCCACGGGGAGTCTTGAGGAGGGGTGTGTGGCTGCAGTGCATTGCATTATGGGTATTCTCCAGGGTAGGGGTGTGCCTGGAACACATTGCATTGGGGATTTTCTCTCATGTGAGGAGTGGCCATGCACCGTATTATGGGCATTGTGCGGGGTAGGGGGCATGGCTGGAACCACTGCCTGTGAGCAGCTTCTGGCAGAGCAGCCCTGGGGTTGTTCTAAATCTTCGGGGAAGCAGAGAGAGGGCACCGCTGGGAATCAGTCTTTCTGCTCTTGACACGCGCAGCTGCCAACCCTGCCACAGCGGTGCTGGAACACATCCAGCAGTGGAGGTGCTGTCCATGCACCTCCGCCCCTCAGCTGGTGCTGGGAGCAGGGAAGTGGGGACCCAAACAATATTCCCACTAACCTTTCCCATCCACGCGCGGATTTTTCCCATCTGCGTGTGGAATACATTTTTCTACGTGCACCACCAGTAGAAACAACCACCCAGCAGTGGGCACTCTGCTAATCAGCGGGGTGGCACTGGAATTCCTCCTGAGCGGCCGCACAAGTGCATAGCTCACAGGGAACACTGGACCCAACCCGGAGTGAGGGGGCCAAGGCTAGAGCCACAGCTTGGGGCAGGCACAGGACTGGAAGGGAAGCTCTGGCCACAGGCCAGTGGCTGGAGCTGTAGGAGTGGAGCCCCGGTTGCAGGGTCCCATTAGCAGGGCCAGTGGCTGGGGTGCAAAGCCAGGAATGGGGCTGGTGGCCACGACCCAAATCGTGGACCCAGAGGACCGGGAAGCAGTGTCCTGTGCACAGGCCCCAGCTGCAGGGCACTGAGTGTGGGGTTTGGGGTGGGACACTGAGCACAGGGTCAGGAGTGGGGCCCTGGGCTTGGAGCCCAGGTACGGGGCTAGTGGCTGGGAAGCCAGGGAATCAAGTCCTGGGCATGGGGCTGGCAGGCAGTTCAATGTAAAATAGGGGGTGCTGCAGCACTCGCTGCACCCCTATGTCCTGCTTGGGCTGGGAGCGCTGTGCCCCAGCCCAGAGGCAGCTGCCTGGGACCCCTCTACCAACAGCCCACATGCCTCAACCCAGAGGTGGTCACGGCCCAGCCCATTATAAATATATAGACTAAGGAGCAGTGTCTGAAGCAGCGAGCTGGAAAATTAGGTTTGTAGGAAGTGCAAACTAACAAGGTTTTGCCTGGACCCTGTGGCTAATCCAGGACCAGGAGCTCGTTGGAGTGGCAACACCACGTCCTTTGGAAACCACACGATGGGCTTGGGGCAATGCACCCTCTAATTTTTCCATCCTTGTGTGGAATAAATGTGATGTGCACAGAGGCATGTGCAGATGGGCACCACCAGTAGAAACACATGCTGCTGACTAGGTGCTCTGCTAATCAGCTGGGTGGCATTTGAATCTCTCCTGGGTGGCTGCCCAACTGGTCAGCTTACAGGGAACACTGCTCGGGAGCTGGAAGAGGCCATGCCATCCCAGTGGTTTAGGATGAGGCTATTATTTCAGGCTAGAGATGGGGGGAGGGGGGGGCAGAGGCAAAACAAAGTCAGCAGTACCTGGGGGCCAGATGTAGGGAACCTGGTTTCAGAATTCCTAGTTTCTATCCCCAGCTCTGGGAGGGGAGTGTAGTCTAGTGGTTAGGGCAGTAGACTGGGAGCTAGGACTCATGGGTTCTACCACAGCACCCCTCTTGGTGCCTCCATGTCCTCTTCCCACTCACTGCTTAGTTAGACAGCGAGCCCTTCCCTGTTTTGTATGTAGAAGTGACTCAATCCAGGTCTAGAAACCCCTATGGTGGGAGGAGACTTTGGAGGGCAAGAGGGCTCTTCAAATCCAGCCAGCAAAGGCAGCTCAAGATCCAATGACTGAAGCTGGGCAAACTGAGGCTAGAAATGAGGTCACTTTGGTAACAAGGAGGAAGATTAAAGACTGGATTAGCTGACTCAGGAAAAGGCAGATTCCCCAGCACCTGAAGGCTTTTCCAAAGTGCCTACATGCCTTAGGAATTCATCTCCTCTTCAAAAGCGAGGTGGGTTCTGGGCTCCAGAGGCAGTGTGGCCTGTTGGTTATAGCACTGGCCTGGGACTCAGAACTGTGGTACTGTATTCTTGGCTTGGCCATTGGCTGATCCTGGCCAATAACTAACCCCAGGCCTCAGTTTCCCCACCTGTAAAAAGGGGATAGGCTACTGTCCACCTCTGTAAAGTGCTTGAGCTCCAGCAATGAAAAGTGCTGGATAAGAACTAGGTGCCCTAGGAGCTGAAGCTTGAAATACAGCCCTGAGTCTGGGTGTCGGGTTTGGAAACCTGGCCCTTCTCAGGGGTCTCAGTGTGCGCCCTCCAAATCACAAGCTGCTTGAGGCCTGTTGTCAAAGAAGCTTGGGGAGGACCCCGACACTCTGGCTTGGCTGGAAACAACAGGGCAGGAGAAAAAGCCAAATGTGTTGGCCAATCACAGCATGACTGCGCCTCCATGAAAACCAACGTTTTTAGGCTGGATCAGGCGAGGGATTTCAGCTGAGACAGAGAAGCATTAATGTCACTGGCCAAGGCGGTAGGAAGCCCTCGGTGGGAATGCCGTGCACGGTGCTGGCGTGAACCAGCGGGCAGAGAAGGGCTCCCAGGCTGACTGGGGAATGGAGAGCTGGTCTCACGAGAGGAGACGGACACGGCCGAGCAGTGTAGCCTGCCTGGGCGAAGGCTGAGTGGGGATCTGACTGCTCTGCTGCACCAGAGGCGTTAACCACAGGGAGAAGAGCTACTGGAGCTGACGGACAGCATGGGTGGAAGAACAAATGGGAGCAAACTGGCTGGGAATCGATGAGACGAGAGATGAAAAGAAGGCTTGTGCCTGGCAGAGGAGGAAGGGTCTGAGCAGTCTCTGGGAGCAGTGGGGGAAACACCCCAGCTAGTTCGAAGATGGAACAGGATGCATTTCTGTCTGGGATTCTATGTGGGGCTTGGGTTGGCTGGGATAGCAGAGAGTGGACGGTGCCTTCCAGTCCTGGGTGCTGCAAGGGCAGATCTGGGGCTGGCTGCAGGCACGTCTGGGAGATTTCCCAGCCTAGTGGGTCAGCGGGGATGTGCTGAGTGTGCTTTCGGCTCCCTAAAAATCTCTCTCTTTCAGGATCATCCCAGCCAGCAGCCGCCACTTTGTGCTGAAGCACCTGGTGGCAGGCGTGGATTACAATCTGTGCGTCCTGGCCATCTTCGACGACGCAGCCACCTCGCTGGCTGCCACGCACCTGCTGGGCTGTGCCCAGTTCTCCACGCAGGAGGCGTACCCCGACTGCCACTCGCTCCACGCCCACTTCCTGGGGGGCACCCTGACGGTCATTGTGGGGGGCATTATTGTGGTGACCCTGCTGGTTTTCACTGTGGTCATGATGGTGAAGTATAAGTTCTGTGGCAGTGCCCATTCCGGCATGCCCAAAGTCTCCAACATGTACTCCCAGACCAACGGCGGGCAGCCGGGGGTGCTCAACGGGATGCTGCCACAGCGGGGCCCCCAGCGGGAGCGGGGGCCGAAGGTGCAGCGCCGGAGGGCGAGGGGCAAGCCCGCCCGGCAGGAGGCACTGGAGCGCAGGACGGCAGAGGGGGTGGTGGCGTGCCCGGGGGACCTGCCGGAGCTGGGGACCTCCAAGGCCAAGCGGAGCTGCTCATTGGACATGGGGGAGATTTCCGCCAGCGCCTGCTATGGTTATGCCAAGCGGCTGAGCATCATGTGGACCAAGCGCAGCCAGTCAGTGCACGGGATGCTGGCCAACTGCACAGCTGAGGGGGAGGACAAGAGGGATGGGGCTTTGGCCAGTGCAGATGAGCTGGAGGAGAGCGTGGTATGACCCAGGAGGGTGGGAGTGCATCGCACTGGAGCAGCTGGCTTAATGCCGGGGAGGGGACAGCTGAGGAGGGGGAAGATGGCCTCAAAGCTGATGTGGTGACACTCCGCTGGATGTAGTGACAGCCGACTGGACGTGGTGACACTCAAGCCATTCCAGTAACCACCTCTCTGAGACGGTGACATGCCAGCCAACGTGGCAACCCCTGATCTAACCCAGCCACTCTTGAGCCAACACAGTGACCCCAGGTCTGACCCCACCAGGCCTTGGCTGGCACAGCAGCACCCCCCAACACTGAATTTTCTCCAGGGAGAGTGTCCAGTTGGCCAGAGACACAATCCCACATGGTTGGGGGAGGGTTTGGATTCTGCCATCGGACGTGGTTTGACTCTGCACCCAAGGCGGGGAATGCCTGGAACCCCCAGCTCTTCGTGCTGCCCCCTCATCTTGATGCACATGGGGTGAGACGCACAGATTGGAACAGGAGGGCTGGGAGGAACTGGAACCAGATCAGAGAAGCGGGGCCAGGACAGGCAGGCAGTACCAGATCACAGAGCGGGTGGGCCTGGATGGGGATTGATAGAGACCAGAAAAGGAGGGGGCTCCTTTAGAGGGAATAGGCCCTGGATTGGAGAGCGACCTGGATGGGCCCTGCTGGGGAAGGGTCTGGCTAGGAGATGGGCCCTGGATTGGAGAGAGGGCCCAAAGGGGAACGATAACGTGACTGCAGAAGGTGCACCCGGAAGGGGAGCTGGTCCTGGGTCGGAGGCTGGATGGGGAATCAGAACCGAGTATTTTATGTTTGGTTTTTAAACTCATTTGCCTAAATAAATAAACAAACCTGAGTCTGTGAGGACTGGAGCTCTGGCAATAGAAGGAGAGCAGCAGGGATGGGTTGTGAGTGCTGGATCCCTGTATTAACAGCCCCTCTGCCCCCTCCAGAGGCTGCTGTGTCCTTGCACCAGGTGGGGGATCCCTGAATTAGCAGCCTGCTGCAGCAGCTCTGCCTGGCGCTACTTGTAACTGATGTGCTGCTTTCTCAGAAGGCTCGGAGCCTGAGCCCATGGCCCCGAGGGGACAGAGCTGCCCGGAGTGTGCGCGTGTGGTGTGAGGTTGTGGGTCACCAACCCGCACTGGGAGCCTGGCAAGGGCACGCGATTGTGTGGGGGGGAGGGAGGCTGTGGGGAGCAGGACTGAGAGCTGCAGCTCCAGACCTTGACATTTCTAAACAACAAGAATTGCCACGGCAACAGCAGCAGGCACATTCAAGAGCCTGCAGCC